TAGAAACCTGGGTCCTTTAAAATAAACAAGCAAGCAGCTTTTCTCCAAAACTTTTTTTTTTTTTTTTAATTTACAGCTTACATCTACTGCCAGTCAAATAATGTTTCTTCTACCATTTGCACGTGATAGATGCGGAGTCAAAAGCCCCTGCGTGACTCAAAGCCCATTTCTTCCCTTTGAAGATTATTGATGCTGCACAGTGACCCCAGCATATCCTCCTCCCGCCACCACCACCACCATCCATCCAATATTTCAAAGGCTTGCTCCCAAGGTTCCCTGGGCTAACTGGAACATAAGCTCTCCCACCTCACGATTTGCATCATTTATCTTGTGGCATTAGCATTTAACTAACAAATCCTTCTAAATGCTGGGGGGTGGGGTTGCTGGGGGAAGGAAGAGAGCAGGCAGCTGCTGTTGGCTAGATGGAAATGCAAAATTTAATCTGGATGCAAAGGGCTACTTCAGCAGGCCTACCTTGGTGGGTAACAAAGGGCAGGTAGCCGTCAGCTTCCAAAGCAACAGGTCTTTCCCTTCGCCTCAGAGTCCTCCGTGGCAGAGCCAGCCCTACCCCTTGGGGACACGGGACAAAATCATTTAAGGCTGGAGGGCAGTCAAGCACGCGTTTGCACACGGGAGTTTTCCACTGGAGATTATGGGCACCACAGTCCAAATTTGTTGACGGGGAGAGCACAAGCGCCGGCTCAACATCATGTGATCCAAAAATATGGGGTAGCAAAAATGAGGACTTTAAGCTTTGAGAAATGTCTGGAGGACACAGGCTGGTTGTGGGCACTTGTGTCTTCACCCTCAGCAGGCTTCAGAACGCAGTGGATTTCCATTGATCTGGTCTTCCATCCTCAGAAGTTCTTCTTAGAAAGACATCTGTGAGCCTGTGACGCCAGAGGCACCCCTCCTGTGGCTTTGAGGATCTCTGGCTCCACTGATGTTGCAACTCTGTAGTCCCAGGAGATGAGTTTTTTGAACAACTCCCCATATCGTTGTCAACTGTACTGTGTAATTACAGAGCCTACCCATTTTTTTTTTTACATTATTTTCTAAAATGTTTCTAAAACTATCCCCTCTCTCTCCTCCCAGGACAAACCTGGTCCTGTAAACGTTTACACATGCCTAGTAAAATACCCTTTTGGTAGCAAAAACGGTAAATATAGACAGGAGCAGACGGATCTTTTAATCTCTCACCTTCCTATCACAACCC